TATTATCTCTAAATTGACTATCCCGGATCTACGGGCGTTACAGGTTGACCCTACCTTCTTCCGAAAGAAAGAAGGCGAACATCTAATGATAGTTCAAATTTATGTTGATGATATCATTTTCGGCTCTACGAATCCTAGCTTAACATCTGAATTCAGAAAGTTGATAGAGACTAAATTTGAAATGAGCGCAATGGGTCCAATTAATTTTTTCCTTGGTTTAAATATTAGACAGGGACCAGAAGGTATCTTTATCAACCAAGAAGCGTACACAAAGAACCTGTTAACCAAATTTGGCATGACTGGTGACTCTAAAGTGAAGGTTCCTATGGCATTTGACACTAAGTTAACACCATCTCTGGAAAAACCTACTATTGACATAACGCTTTATCGTCAAATGATAGGGTCCCTTATGTATCTAAAAACTAGTAGACCGGACATTATGTTTTCTATTTGTTATTGTGCTAGGTTTCAAGCTAATCCAAGAGAACCTCACATGGTGGCTGTGAAAAATATCTTTTGTTACCTAAAGCGAACCTCATCTCTCGGTCTCTGGTATCCTGCCAAATTAGGATTCTTTATTCTAGCTTTTTCTGATGCTGATCTTGGAGGATGTGGTCTAGACCGAAAGAGCACTACAGGTGGATGTCAATTTCTTGATGGAAAACTTGTTAGCTGGCAGTCCAGAAAGCAAACCTATGTGTCACTTTCAACAGCAGAAGATGAGTACATAACTGCAACATCTTGTACTTCTCAAGTAATATGGATTCAAAGTCAACTGAAAGATTACGGGCTAAATATGAAGAAGAATCCTCTCTATTGTGATTCAGAAAGTGCAATAAGGATTTGTCACAATCAAGTGCAACATTCAAAAACTAAGCATATTGCACTTAGATATCATTTCATCAAGGATCATATAGAAGATGGGAACGTGGAAGTGCATTTTGTTCGATCATCTGATCAACTGGATGAAATATTCACCAAAGCCTTACCTGAAGCATGTTTTAATAACATTTTACAAGGTCTGGGAATGATGGAAGCAGAATCGGTACCGAATCCTGAAATCTTGCACTAAAATTAGACAGGCGAAATAGGCGACCGCTCGGTCTATTTCGGCTCCATAATTTTCGGGAACCGAAATGAACCGACCGCTCGGTCTATTTCGGTTCTGGAATTTTAAGGAACCAAAATGAACCGAACGCTTGGTCTATTTCGCTTCATTCTATAACACTAAGGTTTCAGTTGTATATTTTGTATATCTTTGTTATTTTTTTTGTTTTTATGTTTTTTTATTTTTCACAAAACTTCAAAAATCTAAAAATATTTTTTTCAAGAAACTTCAAAAATCCAAAAAAAAATTGTTTTTTTTTTTTGTTTTGTTTGTGTGGTGTGTGTGTTTGTTCATTCTTTTCGATAGGTTCCAAGTATACTAGTACAACAGAGTTCGGAGCTGGGGCATGTATGATTATTCTTTTATGAACTAGTTAAGGGTCCCTAGAAGCATGATGATGCATGTTGACCAAAGCCTCTAAGACTTAGAGCAAGGCCTTAATGATTCGATCAATACCTATCGTTTCTTCCCAATCAGGCTGTTCTTATCCACTCAGTCTAGAGCAACCTTACTCTTCTCATATAAGTTAAGAGTTTTTCTGCTTAGTCATGTCTTTATAGCAGAAGGTACTTTCGGTTCTTTCACCATCCTCCTTCCATTCTCCATCCACTTTCGGTTATCCACTGTAACCTTTGAGACTCTCGGTTATTACCATTGAGGTTTATGGTTACATCAATTATGTGTTTATGATCTTAGATACGTATACCACGTGCTGAGTGAAACCCAAAATTCAACACCTATAATGAATTGACGGTGAATTATTATATTCAAGATCTTACTGGTTACCTACTGAAATCTCTTTTTCTTTGCAAGATCTTTTATGAATTTATCTAACACCAAGGCTTTTCTTCCTATAAAGATCCAATTTATTTTTGTTTTTGAGATTTCTATAAATTCTTTTGTCATTATAAAATATATCCTACCTACTTGCAGACCACATCGGTCTCACAAGTACTTCTTCCAACGCTCGGTCTTACATTAAGAATCGATGTTGAGTTAAAGATAAGACACCTTAAGCTTATGACTTAAAAAGAAGCCTTTCAATGTTTCTTTACAAACACTTGATCGTATTCTCGGGAAACCACACAAGCACTTCAAGTCCATCTTGACTTTGAAGGAAGCGATTCTTGCTTGGAATCACCTGCTTTCTGTCTGTTAATAAGACATCACTCACATACCATATACATTTGCTTTATTTCTTTATCTTTTGTCACTCTATTGCACGAAAATTTTTAATTTTCCAATCTTCTGGTTATGGTATGTTCGAGTTTTAATTGTCCTTTAGCAAAACAAGGGAAATTCTAGTTCTTGTGGCAAAGTAAATTTCGAATGTTGATTGAGGATAAACATCTAGGCACATGAATTTGAACGGTCTCTATACGCACACATGTTGACGCATACCAAGGAGTAACCAACCTATCACACCACGCTTTTTCAAGCGATGTTTTCGTGATCACGTCATTATCGTCATGATTTTTCTCTCTCCTGGCAACGGTATATAAAGGGTTCCGACTATTATTTTTCTTCTACCAGCAACAAAGTTTCTCAACTTAAAAGGAGAATTCAAACTATTTATCTTCCTTCTTTGATCAACAATGGCGAATTCTTCATCCGCTCATGATCAGACTGCTTCGTCCGCATTTCTGTCTATTAAGCCAAATCAGAATATGATCATCGAACTCAACCCCTTCTTGTATGATTCATGTATTTTTCACGTAGTTGAGTGTTTGAAGTATTCCTCGTTAGTTCTAGCCCTATCCCGGGTTGAAGTTGTTCCAATGTCACTCTTGTCCCAAGTTTACTCTACTCACTACAAGAAATATACCCTTTAATGACGCGCAAACAATGACACTCGCAAATTTACGATACGCATTTTTGTGTGACCTTCAAAATAATGCAGGTTTCCAAAAACTGAAGGATAAAGGACACGCATTTTTGCGTGCCCTTAAATTAGTGTTTCAAGAAAAAAAAAAAAACACGGAGGGCATCTAACGAAAGAAGCGTGTCCTCTAAAGCTATCGTTCTATATTTTTTTAGGAAGGCGCGCGTTCTCCATTTTTTTGATAGCCTACAGAGGGGAAATGAAATCCCAAAAAATTAAACACCCCGCCATGTACGTATCTCTTTCTCCTTCTACAATCCTCTACCAATGAACCCTAATAGAACTGTAAGGTTGTCAATCCTTTTGAACCAGTCGTCTTCCTCTGCCTCTACACTCTCTATCCCTTCCCTTTGGAAGCCCTAACTGCCACCACTAGCATTGAACCTCATCATCTCTAGGAGTTCGGAGTGCATAGATGAAATCGACATCAACACAGTTGTGTCTGATGAAATAACACAGGGAATACCGAATCGAACTTGGGAATATCTCCTCCTTCCCTCCACGTCCTTACAATCGATTTCACCAGGTGTTCGATCAACACATTTATACCTCACCCGATAAGATAAACGATTTCACCGTGTTGACGAGAAGCGAGAGAAGGCGAGAAAAAATGTGATTGGTCTGAACACATGATTTTGTTCGGTTTTTGAAACTGTGAGTTAAATCGGTTAATTTGTATGTTTTTTTTTGTTAATTTGTCAATTTTCATCTTCACTCCTTCCTTTTGTTTCATCTTCAACTTTACGGTATATGATGTGTGTGTGTTTGGTCCATCTGTGAATCAGTGAATCTGTGAATCTAGATTATCTCCTGTTGGATTTTGGTCCATTTGTGCATCTACACAATACAGGTAAGAACTCTAGTTCGTTTGAGAGTCTTGTTCGTTTGAGAGTCTTGATTACTTCCATGGCTATAACTAGCTTTGTGAGTCTTGATTACTTCTATGGCTATAAGCAGCTCCAATACCGAAGTTTAAAAAAAGACGTTCAGATCATTAAGCTTCAGATTTGCTTCCATGGCTCTGGTTATAGCTATGGTTATCTGCTGTTATTTTCCTGTGCACACCAGGTGTTCGATCATTTTCCTCTGTGAGAAAACCATCGTGTAATTCAAATCAAAGCTATTCAAAATGCTTGAAATTGGTTGTACCAAAATACTAATATTAGGAATTGGAGATGTTCCATGTGATCATGTCTGGTCACTGGTGGCTTTTGTTATGTGGATTCAAAGAAACATGTAATTTGCTATAGATGTTGATGTCTTAACTACCTCCATTTTTATTTGATTAATAGGCACTTGTTGATGCTCGTGACATGGTAAGAGGACAAATGAACTTCAATAGGTTGAAACTTACAGACATCAAGATTGACATCAATAGATTTCAAAGAAAAAACCCTTGTTGCTGCTTTAGAAGCTGCAAGTAAGATTTAATTGTTTGGATTTCTGTTATTGTTACTTGAATGCTTTTATTTGTGTTTATAGCATTTGTCAAATAACTTAACAAGTGCTTTTTATGGCAGTTTGTGAGCTGTGTATTTTGACCAATAACTTAACAAATGCTTTACAGGAAGAAGCTAAATCTGTCGGGCAGCTGCGTAATGTTTGGCTGACTAATCTCCTTGTTTGTTGTTGTGAAGATGATGAGAGGCTACCTGTGGCAGATGGTTTGACTTTAACAAAAGTCAAAAAGGTTTGAAATGGTTGGGAATGATGGTATGATAATTATCACTTCACCCAAACATTTATATTTAATTTATATAACCATGTGCTTACTTATATACTTATGTGGTTTTCAGATAATTACATTTGCACTTGTGTATGTTGGAACAACTTTGAAGGACCTGGCTGCTATTACTCATGAATGGAGTCACTTGTACATTATCCAATCTCTTTTGTTGTGGGTGTTTCTTGCAGTCTAATGCTTCACAAATTATTGGGTTCAAGTTCCAATATTATCAGCGTATGGTAAAGTTTCAAGGGCGGGACCAGTTGCTGACAGCATAAAACGAAATGCTCAAGGTACTCTACTCCACTGCTTCATCAGATATGTCTACAAGTTTGGTTGGTTGTTTCTCTTATTACAGATGCATTGGTTGCATCTGGTCAAGTATAAATTCACCAAATGTTGACATTGACTTGACTTGACATAATTTAAGGAAAATGTTTGACTATTTGTCAATTAGTTGACTTCTTAACGTTTTTTTTTTTATTTTCTTTTGTTTTAGGCGTTGATTGCTAGTTCGGTTTCAAAAGGGGATTATAAATTCGTGAAGGATATCACATACTTCGTGTTGACTGTAATGTTAATTAATAATTATTTTCTTTATATAATATATAAAAATGTTTTTATTTTATAAAAATTAATGTTTATTATTTTCTCTATATTGGTTTTGTGATTGGTGTTACTTTGGCTGCAATATTGGGAGTTTCATTTGGTTCCATAGTCACACTGTTCACTAAGGACATTGGAGTATTGGCGATTGCTAGAACCGAGGTTTTGGTAAAATCTCTATAATACCATTGTTATTATTATTATTATTATTATTATTATTATTATTATTATTATTATTATTATTATTATATATATATATATATATATATATATTTATGATGTGTTTTGTTTTTGTGAAAAAAGTTTGTGAGTGCTAGTCAGCCTTTGAATGCTTTGGCTTTTATTGTTGATGGTTTGCATTATGGCGTTTCAGACTTCCCCTGCTTATTCCATGGTATGCTTTTTTTTAGACATGAATATAAAATTACGTATTTGCCCTTGGATTAATATGTTTTTCACTATAGATGCTTGTTGGAATTTTATCGTCTGCTTTTCTTTTCTATGCTCCCTCGGGTTTTGGTCTTCATGGTGTTTGGTCGGGTTTGACTCTCTTCAAATCTGACCGGGTGGAATAGTAAAAAATGAGCTACCGGTGGAATAGTCAAAAATGGTTTCCTTCTTTTTCTTTTATCGATGAAGTACATGCTGCTCTTTCTCTCTCAGATATAGCAGTTGCATCAAATCTTTTTGCTGCCATGGATCTAGATCAGGTACTTCCTCTTGACTAGAAGTACACTCTTTAATACAATATATAATAACCGTTAGAAGAAGGCCCTAGGGTCTTGTTCAATGCTTTAGCTGTGTTTGCTCTAAGGGAGATCAACTTATCAAAAGTAAGTTATTTTTTTTTCACCCTTTTATTTAATATTTTTGTGATTGAATGAAAGTCTTAATGAAAGTAATTGACAACCCTTTTTCTATAAATGATGTTGTGATTATGAGAGAGGTGTTGTATTTTTCTCTGTTGCTAGGTAACCTTCTCAACAACAGCATTCTACTTAAGCAGGTGAGTAATCAAGATTAAGGGAGACTTGTAATTATGTTTGGCATTCCTTTCCAGGACACATTAAGCAGGTGGTACGCACATAAGGCGTTGGCAAAAACAAATAACATGAAACGTTTCCAGTAAGAAACAGAGTTGTATGATTACATGTTAGTTTTATAGAAATGTATAACCCATGTTAGCAATGTATTATTTTTTTAACATTTGAATGATTCTTTGTATGACATTATAATTTGTGCAATTTATTTTATTTTTTGAGTATGCAATTTTATTTTATATTATGCATGGATTGTATTTTTTGTATATGGTATTTTATTTATATTATGAGAAATTAAATGCAAATTTAATTTAAAAATTAATAAATATAATTTTTTTTAAACATTTAAATTTACGATACGCAAAAATGTGTGTCATCTTCATTTATGACATGGCCTTTCTTGACAGGGGCTTTCTTGATACACATTGTGTGTCATTAACACGCGCGTCGTAAGGTTACGACATGCGAATGCGTGTTGTCTTCCTTTATGATAGGACCTTCCTTGATATGCAATGCGTGTCGTAAACGCGCGTCGTCTCTCTTTATGACAGGGCCTTCCTTGACGCGCATTTGCGCGTCGTCTGAGCCTTTTACGACGCGCAATGAGCATCGTAAAAGGCTGTTTTTCTAGTAGTGACTGCAACATATGACAAGAACAAAGAACACATTTACTTTCAAATCCATTCCAAAAAGGCCTCTATTTCCAAAGGAAGGTTTTGTTCGTTATTACATCTTGCTGTGGATTCCTCAGTCAACTCACCCGACTTCATCACCACTGCGCAGTTGTTCTCGATGCTTTATGAGATGGGTTATACGGATGTGCTAACCACCATTACAAAGGTCAAGAAGTCGTGTCTACCATCTCAGTGGAATAAATTACTTACTCTTCTTATCAAGAGTTTAGCGGAGCGGAGTGCTAGATCTGATGGCACCAGCAAGGGTTTTCTGACCCTTCTCTATGGTATTTACAATGGTCTCAATCTTGATTATGGGTCCATTATCTGGTCTCAAGTTGTGCAGAGCCTCAATACTTCTACTCGGCATTCAGAAATTTCTTGTGGAAGGTTCTGGACTCTTATCACAAGAAGGGCTATCGACACTTTGGCTATTCTGGTGATGAAAGATGCCCTAGTCGCGTCTATTGCAACGTTTCACACCAAGAAGATCATTCTTTCTGTTCCAACAAAGTTCCCTCACTATGCATCTATTCCCGAGTCCATGTATCGATGTGTCACAGCCGAGAGTCAAGTTATGGCTGATTATCGTAAACTTCCTCCTAAGGAACCGAGAGTCCTATCTCCGGAACAATAGGCTTCCCTGGACGCAGTAGACAAGCATGGCAATCGAGGGAAAAGGGTTATACTCAAGAAGGATACAAAAGAGGAGGATCAATCTAAGCCTTCTAAGTCAAAGAAGCGCAAGTCAGAGAAAGGGGCTTCTTCTAAGCCAAAGAAAATTAAAAAGATGGCGAAAAGATCAAAGAATCCTACTCCTCCTAGCTCTAAAAATCAAGATGATGATGAAGAAGAGGAAACTCATCAAGAATCACCAAGAGGCAATACTCCCCCACGATCTCCCACTTCAACCGAATCTCCTCGTCACAAACTTCCAACCCCACCTCCATCACCGAAACAGAAATTTCCAGTTTCGGTTGTTACCACATCAAAAACAACAACCTCTTTTCCACCACAAATTTCTTCCATTTCTATTTCTACAACTATCTTACCACCTCCTATAATTTCCTAATCTGGGTCAACGTATCTGATACGGGGGCACCTACTGAAACCGAACCTCCTGTGATTAATAAACCTCTTTCACCTACACATTCAACCGATTCTGGTGCAACTCTCGGTGGTGCTAATGATGAGTATGACTCTACATACTTCAGTCCTTATAGGCTTCCTACTAATGAGGCTGATGATGCTCCAATCACTAGCCAACACTTGGAGAGTATTAACGAGAAGTTGAATAAATTGCTTGCTGATAACAAGGCTTATAGTGGTGTTGTGCTGAAAGCTTTTGTGGAAACTGCCATTCTGCAATACACCGAATCCATTGACAAATAAACCAATGCAGTTAATGAATCTGCTTCTACCTGTCGAAAGGCCTCTGCTGATGTTGCAGACATTGTTAATACTACTCAGATTTTTTTGGATTCTCTTAAAGGGCACGACGATACAAATGCAGCCAAGGTGCAAGCCTTTGTGGATTCGCTTTCCAAGTCTCTTCAGGAAGAACAAACCAAATTTGAAGCTGTTCATTCCTCCATCCAAGCAGAAAAGACTGCTCTTATTAGTTCAATGTCTTCCCGACTGGACTCACTTCATGCTGATCTTGCAAAAGAGAGTACCTTGAAAGAAGAAATTGCTCGCCAAGCCTCCACAATATAAGTTTAGAAGGTTCAGCTCGCTCAAGCTAAAAAGGAAATTGCTTTGTTGAAGATGGAGAGAGCAGTGTTTCGTAGTTATGCAGGGGATGTGAAGGATATGCTCACCAACATCCTTGGTGCTCATGATCCCATCCTAACCTTGACCATTCGGAATCATATCACAACCAAACTTCTTCCTGCCCTTGCATTGTTACATGAGATGAAAGGTGTTTCGGAGAAGTTTATTCCTCCAAAACAAGGGGGAGGGGTGTTCAACTGAAGGCTGATCTTTATCATATGAAGGTTAATGTTACAACTGAACTGAAGGATAATGTAGCTTCAGGTTCTGGTTCTCAAGCCAAGCAAAAAGATATTAAAGATGATAGTGATGATGACATTGAAGAAACTATTGTTGATGCTCTCAAAAGAAAGAAAAAAGACAGAAAGTTGGATGAAAAATTGAAGGTTGCAAGGGAAGCAGAGGAGAGGGAGAGGAGAAACAAGGAAGAAGAAGAAGCCTTGAACTGTAAAAAGGCCTTGTTTTCCTTATGGATGAAAGAGACATTAATGAATCAAGCTATAGAGTTTCCAAGTGTTTATTGGTTGGAACCTGTTGCTTCTTTCGATTGTGACAATTCCAAGGACTTGCAGTTCGATATGCCGATAACAAGAAAGGCATTCACATTTCATTGTTTTGATTGGACTGTCGAGGTTCCTTTCCCTCATCCAAAGGTCGATAGAGAGCTTATTGATTTTTATTTGAATTATGGGCAACCTCAGTACTTGACATGGAGCGCACAGAAAATAATAAATGTCAAGGTATTGAAACCGACACCTGCTGGGAAATTTGTGAATGTCAATTTTAAAATCACTCGTGGGTCTGCAAATTCGGTGTCAATGATTTCTCTAGCAGATATTCCAAATCTAAATCCTCATGATTGGATTCTTTTGTTTAACATTCTTCTCACCAATTCGGGGGAATATGAACCAATACTAGAGCACTTGAAGAGAATGTTGGCTTCTTATGTCTATGAGGTTGCAGGCATGGATCAAGAGATAGCGAAAGTGATGAAGAAGAAATTAACTATCTAATCAACACCAAAACCAGAAGATGTAAATAAAATGAAGATAGACCAAATTGATTCAAAAAATCTCACTGTGATGTTTACTAAAGGCGAAGGTCATAGATTTTTGTTCATCCTTGTCGATAAACATTTATTTTCAACGGACTGCTTGGAGCACATCATCAACATTATTCATCGGTGCAAGTAGAACTCAGAAGTAGACAAGAAGTACTTCACAGACATGCTTCGGTGGTACATAACGTTCCATCATCATCTTTTGGCTATCATTCTGAAGTTGTTCAAAACTGTAAAGAAGTCTTCTGCTGCTCAACCAAAGTGAGCTTTCGGTTCCATTGACGAAAAATGGGATATTGTAGAGATTAATTGTGTTGTGTCATGGGCTTTATGTTTTGTATCCGGATTGGGCCTGTCCATCCGTGATTTTCTAGTAGGGTTATACTATAAATATGCATTCATGTATGCATTATAGTTTTTTTACGAGTTTTATTACGTTCATTCTCTGTAACCCTAAACGCCTCTACAGTCGAAGTTCTTAGTCGAGCTCTTCTGAGGTGTTGAAGTATTAATCATACGACATATTCAAAGTCATATTCGTGTTCATATTTACGTTCATAATTGTTTTCTAGCATAGAATCTAATAATTATGATTGAACTAAGTTCTAACATGCTTGAAGGGAGGCTCTCTTCGAAAGTGTCTGGAATGATTAAGGATTCTGAGTCTCATCTTCTTAAGAAAATTGACCTTTGTGATTAGAATAATGAGATGAGGGTCAATGCTCAAAAATCTATGTTTAATGGTGATCTGAAGGACTTAAAGTCAGTTGCGAAGGACAGGCACATTTTGTTCATTCAGGATGTGAAGAAGGTGCGAGAAGATGTCAATTAGAAACTCCAAGAACTGCGCCACGATATGGAGAAAGAGATTGCAAATGTTCGTACTGAATTTGCATCTCTAAATCAAAAGGTGGATATCATTTGCGATGTTGTTACTAAATTCGAAAAGTTGTACGAAAGTTTGAGTCCTCAAATTACTCAACTTTCTACAACTAAGAATAAACATTTCATGGAGGTTTTTTCAATGCTAAAGGAGCTTAAAGCTTTATCTTCTGCTCCTGCTTCGTCTTCCTTACTATCTTCTGAAGATCTTCCAAATTCGAAGCCTTACTTATTCAGCAGTTGGCTCCTCTTTCTAGAATATCAAGCCTTCTTCCTACTATGGATGCCCCACCTGCTAGCACAGGGATACAAGGGGGAGAAAAGAAAGGTGAAGGTACGAAGGCTAGTACTGAAGATGCAAAGGTCGTAGGAAATGTGTTTCCTTCCAAAATCCCTACATCAAAACTAGTGATAGCAACTGCTGGTCCTATCACTTCAACAATAGTTACAGCTGTGCCAATTACAAGACCAATTTCGAAAGGAATTGTGATTGGTAAATCTATTGACACTGGAAGAAGAGAAGTGATAGAGGAATCAAGTTCGAAGGCAAAGGGAAAGTCAATTTTAATCGAAAAATCTAAAGAAGAGAAAAAGG